TCGACTACTCTATCGGAGAGGAGAAGATCGATGAGCTCAAAGCTCTTTACAAACACTATCACAAGAAGTGGTGGTGCTCGAGGAAGATCTTCAAGAGTTTCAAACGAAAGAGTCTTCTCTGCAACCTGGGAAGCACCATGCTCATCGTTATCGGAGGGATAGCTGGAGGGATAACCATGAACCCAATCCCGCTTGCTACAATATCAGGCACTGGCCTCCTTCTCAAGACGTACACCGATGTGAAGAAGTTCGACAGAAAGATCGATATGAGCAAATTTGCCTTTACAACCTATGAGAAGATCTTGACTGAACTGAGATCCTATCTGAGAGGAAGACCGTTCGACAGTGCATCGTTTCTCAATGAGGTGAGACTCATCGATGATACAATCACAGATCTGTATCCAATCTTTCAATCGACTAAAGTACTTAAGCAGTATAAAACACGCTTCGAGCATAATAAGGTTTGAGGTTTCTAAATACTTTCCTCTTTTGAAACGAAAGAGGAAAGTGAGATCTTCTCTTTAGTAGACAGTAGGCCCTGCCTCAGGCCGACCTAACCTTCCTCTTCATCAGATGAAAGGGTGTCTTTATCTTCATCTTCATCTTCTTCATCAGATGAAAGGTGACCAACGGTTGTCTCTGTGGCAGTGATTTGACATAGATGTCATTCACCTTGATCTGCAGCGTTACAGCTTCTTCACTAATATAGATCGACTCGATTATCAACGCCATCTTCACTTTGCAATATTGATCAAGATAATCAAGTGGATTCTCTTTTGCTTTCTCTCTTGATCGGAAAAGTGTGTGTATATTCTGCGTCTTCTTAGAGATGATGAGCTTTGAATAAAGAATGGGGGGTTTTCCCTATTTCTCAATCAGAGGGAGTTTCAACATTGATGCAGTTTTAGGTTCATATCCGATCTTCTCAAGATGATCAGAACACGGATGTTTAAACTGTTTCAATCCATCATAAAAATCAAACTCTTTTTTTGATAGTTCATAGTCTACACCCCAGAGACAGGTGGGGATTGAGTAACCAGTGAAACCACCAGCTTTATCACGACTCTCTTGCACACCAAAAGAGAAGAGGAGAGGAGACTCAATCACCAACGGTCCTGGTGTATTTTCCCCTCCACCATTCTTCGCTTCAATATTGATTCTTTGATGACCATATTGGTTGACAACGGCTTCGTGGAATATGACATTCTCTTTGTTGAGCTTTTTGATACTTGTGAGTTGCATTGTTATTATTATCAAACATTTTCTTTAAAACATTTTTTTTGAAAAAAGCAAGTGGATATTTATCTCTGAAGAATAAGTATTTCTTTCGCTTTTGCATCGTTGACACTTATCTCTGAAGAATAAGTGTTTCTTTCGCTTTTGCATTGTTGACACTTATCTTCAGAGATAAGTGTTGCTTTCGCTTTGCTTTCGCTTTCACAAATTCAAGAGTTATATTTTCAGCGATACTTGTAGAATAAGCTAAAATGGTCAACATTCCAAAATTGACTACAGAGAGTTCAAACGGAAATCGAAAGAGAAGAGCACCCGGTGTTGACTTTCTTGATGAAGAGTATAGGATGTTGATTGCCGGTCCGAGTGGGGCTGGAAAGACAAACACGCTTATGTACATGTTGAGAGAGCCGCTGGTCATTTACGAACAGATTTTTATCTATACTCCAAACATTCACCAAGAGCTGATACAAGATCTCCAAAAGATTATGCATCAGCACTCACAGAAACTTGGGTATGATGTGTTGCATCTGATGAATCCTGATGAAATTCTTGACACAACAGAGTATCCAAGAGTGGGCAGGAAGGTTGTGATTTTCGACGACCTCATCACTGCTCCTAATAACGTGCAGGAAAATATCTTGAAGCATTTCGTTGATGGAAGGCATCATTTAATCTCACCGGTGTATCTGAGTCAATCATATCACAAGACTCCTGTCAACAACAGATTGAACTGCTCTCATCTCATCCTGTACAAACCTGCAATGAATTGCCATCGCGCTATGATCGCTCGTGAGAATAGCTTTGAACCAGATCTGTTCTCAAGACTGAAACCTTTTGAATTTCTTTTCCTCGACAAGGTGAAGGAGACATGCATGAGAAATTTCGATGAAGAAATCTAACGCTTTTTCAAGAGATGAAGAGTTATTGTGTCAAACAGAGAAAAAAGACTGAGTCTGTATCCGGGAGCGAAAGACGGGAGATTGCAAAAAACGGTCGTCCGATCATCAAATCGAAGTGTGCAGAGTGTGGCATTACAAAGGTAAGGTTTCCTAGTGGTGTTACCACCACTGAAAAAAAAGGCGGGGCGCTCTTTGATGATGTAGGAAGGACCAGCACTTCGCTGTTAGAGATGGGGATGAAGGGGTTGGCTAATCTCGGACAGTACGGTCTTGCAAAGGCTGTCAATTCTAACTATGGAAAGAAGAAGATGAAGCAGACAGCAAACAAATATCTCGATCAAGCTATCGATTCTTTTGCTAACGATATGAGTAGAAAAATCGGGAGAAGTGTTTATGATGTTAATGAAGTGTTACCAATGTCAATGTATGCTCCCGATCGTGTTAATGATCCGACACACCCCCTTTATGAAGGAGGATCCTTCGATATTCACAAAGCTATCGGAAAACTACCAAAACCGAAGAAGGGTTGGACTCTTCCAGGTCATAAGTATACAGGACCGTACAACGACCTTGCAAATCAGGTGAGGTATAACCCTCAGACGGGTGAGATTCTTGAGATTTTTGATAAGCCAACAGGACCGACTGACGCTGTCGCTATGCAACATGATGTTGATTACAGCGTCTGTACAAACAAGACAGACCCAAAGAAGTGTAAGAATGCGACTGACCGTAAGATGTTGAAAGCTCTCGATGCGATTCCAACGAGTGAGAGACAGTGGGGGCATTGGGCTGCAAGAAACATCATCAATACCAAGCAGAAGCTTGGTTTGGGTGTGGGGAAAAAAAAGCTCAGAGGAAGAAGGGGTGGCAAGAGGAATTAGCAGAGGAGTTGCACAGACCGGTGAGGCGAAACTTCAGAAAACGACGCGTTATTGTCAAAGGAATCGATGAGATTTGGTGCTCCGACTTGGTTGAGATGCAAAAGTTTGCAAAGTGGAATGAGGGTTTTAGATATCTGCTGATGGTTTTGGATGTCTTCAGCAAATACGGCTGGATCGTTCCGTTGAAGAACAAGAAGGGTGAGAGTGTTTCGGAGGGGTTCAGAAAGCTTTTCGCTGAAGGGAGAAGACCGAAGAGACTCTGGGTTGACAAGGGTTTGGAGTTTAACAACAGTCATGTTAAAGATCTGATGAAAGCTGAAGGTGTTGAGATGTACTCGACAGAGAATGAGGAGAAATCGTCTGTCTGTGAGAGGTGGAATCGAACGATCAAAACGGAGATGTGGAAGCAGTTTACCATTCAGAATAACACACAGTATCTCGACATTCTGCCAAAGATTGTCAAGAAGTACAACAATCGAAAACACAGATCAATCGGTATGACTCCGACAGAGGCTTCCAAGAAAAAGAATGAGAATGCCGTCTTTCTGAAACTCTATGGCGATCTGAGCGAATTGCGAGAGAAACCAAAGTTTGCGGTTGGCGATCACGTTCGAATCTCCAAATTCAAGCGAAAAGTGTTCGACAAAGGATTTACCCCTAATTGGACAGTGGAGATTTTCGTCGTTGACGAGGTGCAATATTCCAACCCGATCACTTACAAGTTGAAGGATCTGCTCGGGGAAGAGATCAAAGGTTCTTTCTACGAACACGAGATGTTGAGAGCAAAGCAGGATGTTTTCCGCATTGAGAAGGTTATTCGAAGGAGTAAAGGGAAAGCTTTCGTGAAGTGGAGTGGTTACCCAGAAAAATTAAACTCGTGGATTGATGAGAGAGAACTTCAGGGGGTAGGTCCTACCTAAAAAAATCATTGATTTCAGGCAGGGCCTCACTCGTTGTGGCAAAAAAGTTAAAGATAGTTAAAAAAATGTTTGATATAAAATGAGATGGATGAACTTGACACTCTTTCAAAGCGTGCACTCTTGAGAAAGTCTAAGGAGATGGGACTGCAACGATGTTATTTACTTAACAGATTAGAGTTGATTGACCTGATCAAAAATCCTCCCGAGTTGGATTATCTTAATACTATGTCAAGAAACGAACTCCTCGAAAAAGCAAAAGAGATTGGATTGCAAGGATATTTCAAGAAGAAGAAAGGAGAGTTGATTGAACTAGTCAGAAATCCTCCACCTCCTCGCGCAAGATACACTGGTGTAAAGAAAAAAGTAACACTCCAACCTACAGATTCAGAAGGGGAAGAACTCGTTTTCCCCTCAATCAGTGCTGCTGCGAAACACTTCAATGTAAACCCTGGAGTGTTTGGAGCGAAGCTTAGATCACGCAAAGAGAGTATAAGAAACTTCGTTGAACTTGATGGAAGGAAATTTACTCTCCGTTTCGAAGCTTACCGTGTGAAAGAGAAGCATTCAAGAGAAGAGTTAAGTGTTAGAGTTTTCATCACTTAAAACGAGTGATGAAAAATGGATTAAAAATGGTTAAAGAAAATATTTCCATCATAATAGATATACAATGGAGAAAAAAACTGTTGTGCAACTTCGTCAGATTGCAAAAGAGATGGGTCTTCGCGGCTACTCAAGACTTCGAAAAGCAGAGCTCATTGACTTGTTGAGTTCAAGAGGGATTGTTAATTTCATTGAGGAGGAGGAGGTTTTGGAGAAAAACAGTTTCACAACTTCGTCGGATTGCAAAAGAGAGTGGTCTTCGTGGCTACTCGAGACTTCGAAGAGCAGAGCTCATTGACTTATTGAGACGACATCGTTTCAAATTTGTTTGGAGCAGATCTTCATTGAAAAAGTTTGCAAATCAGTATACGATTGATGGGGTGGAAGGTTATAAGCCGAAAGATTTTCTTCAGGCTGTAAAACCGACCGTTATCGATTTTCTATTAACGCAGAATAGTATTAAGATGGCGTTCGTCCTGAGGTGTAACATGTTAAAGAAAAACGCTGCGACGGGTGAGACTGTGATAGATATTGCATATTTTACATCTTTCGTGGAGGTTGTATTTCAAGAGACTGATCGAGAAGAGCTTTATCAGAGATGTGTTAACAAAATGTTGGAGAGTTTGGCTAAGTTTATAAAAGAGGGGAGCGGTTGGGTTGTACATTCGATTGCGGGGTTGGATTTGCATACAGTGAAATACACTCCTTTGAGAGGCTTTTCATTTATTAAGCTACCAAAACATCTCGCAAATAAGCAGGCTATCATAAACATGAAGAATGAGGATAATGAGTGTTTTAAATGGTGTGTTACGAGAGCGTTGAATCCTGTGGAAAAGAACCAAGAACGTATCTCAAAGACATTGAGGGAGCAGGCAAAGAAGCTTGAATGGGGTGGGATTACGTTTCCGATGGAGGTGAAGAGTATTCGCCGCTTTGAAACTCTGAATCCAGGTCTTGCTGTCAACGTCTATGCGAATGAAGGTGGGTTGAAACCCTTGAGAGTGAGTAACGTTGACGGCAAGACTTGGATTAATCTTCTTCTCCTCTCTGAAGGTGAGAAAAAGCATTACTGTCTCATCAAAAATCTAAGTCGACTCATATCGAATGGGGATACCAACAAGAAGTTTATCTGTATGAGATGTCTTAATTTTTTCAGTTCTCAGAAAGTGTTAGACAAACATATTGAACTCTGTCGAGAATATAAGGCTGTGAGAGAGAAGATGCCAGATGAGGGATTTTATTTCTTTTTCAAAAACCACTACAGGAAGATGGATCTGCCATTCGCTATCTATGCTGACTTTGAGTCAACCATTAAACCTTTACACACCGCTCAACCGAATCCTAAGGAGTGTTACACCGAGAAGAAGCAGAAACATACCCCGGTGAGTTTTTGCTACTTTGTCAAATGCTCTTTCGATGACAAACATTCGAAACTGGTTGAGTACACAGCAAAGTCTGAGGATGAGGATGTTACGCAGATATTTGTTAACATGCTTGAAGAGGAGGCTAAGTCCATTTACAAAAACCATCCTGGAAAAGAGATGATCTTCACAGACAGCGATGCTGAGATCTTTGAAAACGCAACGTGTTGTTGGATCTGCAAAGGAGGTTTCAATGAGAAGAAGAAGGCATATGAGAAGGTTCGTGATCATTGTCATTACACCGGCAAATTTCGAGGAGCTGCACATAACAGTTGCAACCTGAGATTCCGTCGTCCAAAATTCACTCCTGTCATCTTTCACAACTTGACAAACTATGACGCACATCTCTTTGTTAGAAATCTCGGCGTTTCAGAAGGTAAGATTGATTGTATTCCCAACAATGAAGAAAAATACATCAGCTTCACAAAGAATGTTGTGGTTGACAAGTTTTTCGACAAAGAGAAAGAGAAAGACGTTAATGTCAAGAGAGGGTTGAGTTTCATTCACAGCTTCAAATTTATGGCTTCTTCTCTTGGCCAGCTTGTCAACAACCTCACCAAAAAGGGTGACTCTTTTGAGAATACCGGAAGATACTTCGATGGAGAGAAGCTTGATCTGTTGAAGAGAAAGGGTGTCTATCCTTACGAGTGGTTGAATTCTATCGATAGACTTGATGAGACTAAACTTCCGCCGATTAAATCTTTCTACTCTGTTCTCAGCGGTAGTGGTATCTCTAAAGAAGAGTATGGTCATGCACAAGAAGTATGGAGAACCTTTGGAATGAAGACGATGCGAGATTATCACAATCTATACAATCCAAGCGATGTTCTCCTTCTCTGCGACGTTTTTGAAAACTTTCGAAAGGTTTGCAAGGAGAACTACGACCTCGACCCCTGTTGGTATTACACCGCACCTGGTTTGGCTTGGGATGCATGTCTCAAGATGACTGGGGTAGAGCTTGAGTTGCTGAGTGATGTTGATATGTTACATATGTTTTAGAAAGGTATTCGTGGAGGGATTTCGATGGTTACGAAAAGACATTCACAAGCCAACAACAGATACATGGGTGAGAAGTTTGAAAAGAGCAGACCTTCAAAGTTCATCACATATCTTGACGCAAACAACCTCTACGGTTGGGCGATGAGCAAGAGTCTACCAACGCGTGGCTTTGAATGGGTGGATGAGAAAGACTTTAAAGATTGGAAGAATTTTCCCTGCATTCTTGAGGTTGACTTGCTTCCTATCGACAAAGAGCTATACGATCACTTTGATGACTATCCCCTCGCTCCCGAGAACTTGTTGGTTGGCAATGTTCATGAACTGGTCTGCACCTTGAATGGTAAAAAGAAGTACATCGTTCACCATGAGGCTTTGAAGCTTTACATGAGTCTTGGTGTTAAAATCGGAAAGATTCACCGCATCATTCGGTTTAAAGAGAGTCCTTGGATGAAAAAGTATATCGATTTGAATACAGAGTTGAGAGCTAAGGCTGACAACTATTTCGAGAAGGACTTTTTCAAACTCATGAACAACTCTGTCTATGGTAAGACGATGGAGAATATTCGGAATCGGGTTGATGTAAGACTTGTCAACTCAGAAAAGCAGGCGGAGAAGTTGGTAAATAAGGTCAACTTCGAACGCTGCACCATCTTCTCTGAGAATCTCTGTGCGATCCATATGAGAAAGATGCAAATTCTCTTCAACAAACCACTCTATCTCGCAATGTGTATCCTCGATCTCAGCAAGACTCTGATGTACGACTTTCATTACAACTACATCAGACCCAAGTATGGAGACAGAGCAGAGCTTCTTTTCACCGATACTGACAGTCTTTGCTATGAGATTCAGACCGAAGATTTTTACAAAGATATAATTAATGACGTGGATTCTTTGTTTGACACGAGCAACATTCCTAAAGGGCACTCTTCTGGGATACCAACCGGTGTGAACAAGAAAGTTTTTGGAAAGTTTAAAGATGAGGCAGGTGGAAAAATCATTGAGGAGTTTGTCGGTCTGAGGGCGAAGTTGTACAGCTACAAGATGTTTGACGGGGGAGATGAGAAGAAGAAGTGCAAGGGAGTGAAGACGGGAGTGGTGGAGAGTACCATCAGCTTCGATGACTATAAGAGGTGTGTGTTTGGTGGTGGTAAACAGCATCGGAAGATGAATACCCTCAGAAGTCGAAAGCATGATATGTTTATGGAGGAGATTAACAAAGTCGCTGTCCGCCGATGAGGACAAGCGAATCATTCTTCCAAACAGAGTGAAAACACACGCATTCGGCCGGCCTGAATGAATAATTTGAATTTGGAAAATACGAAAAGATGATTTTGTATTAAATTATCGTGACAGTACGATAATTTAACAAAAATCAGCCAGGTCTCCGCTTAAAGGGATACTAAATTATCGTAATCACGCGATAATTTATCGATTTTGAGCTTAAAGAGGTACTAAATTATCGTGGCCATGCAATAATTTATCGTGAAAGGATGTTTTTTGGTTAAAAATTATCGTAAAAGATAATTTTAACCAAAATCCAAAATCAAATTTTTAACCAAAAATCCAAAATGAGCTCGGACATTATTTCTCATACTACTCACTCTTCCTCAATCCACGTATACAATGCGCAGGGCGACCACTCTTGATTCCCCACTGGATTAAGAGTGGAGTTACACAACTGAGCGATCTATGTTACGAAGTTATACCAGAATTCCTATCCCCCCCCCGAGGCGCTCCGCGATATGATCCCCGATTTTCCCCCGAGCCAACTCGCCCGCGAACTCAACACCCTACTACAGGCCCTCCCAGACGACTGGCGACGCCTTGTTGCCTCCACTACAACTCCCCCCACCCCGCCTACCCAGCCGAATTCACCATCTCTTCCTCAGCTACTCCACTTGCTAATATCCCCACCTGGGGTTTCTACAAAATGCTTATGGCGTCTCAGCAGCCCACCATCCCCAGCCTACAATATTGGGAGCGCACCCTTAACCCCGCCCCTAAATTCACCTCCGC